TTTTTTTTTGCCTAATATGAATATGAATATTATTATTTAAATGTAAAGAAAATATCTATCGAACTATTTTATTGAAAGAGATCTTTTAACTTAAATCAATTAAATTGATTTACAACAAGTCAGTTTTCTTTTCGATTTCTTTGTTATCAATGTAGAAAATGAGGCCGAGATTATATTCATTATATAGTTCATGATATTACATCAAAACAAACTGAGATAGATTCATTCTTTGATTCATCATCAACAAATAAAGAATTATTGAAATAACATCTTTATTATGTGCTGATATATTGTTGTCATCATAAAACTTTTTACATAGTCGATTTTTTTTTATTTTTTGGAAACACTTATCTTTATCATTGTTGTTGTTTTGAAGAGAATATAGTTATTCGTATTCATCTCTGGAAGAATGTGTAACACATTTAAAAGATAAATGAATTAATTAACTAAGAAAACATCTAAAATATTTAAAAAAAAACAAATTTTTTATTATATTAGATAAATTATTAAAGGTATAAATATCATTTTGTTGTATGAGTATGATAGATAAAAAATGACTTATTATTTAAAAAACAACATACAAATAAATATAAATGAGTACATCTTGAGGGTGTGGGTGTGAGTATAGATGCAATTATTCCCTTAACTCACTCCCACACCCATAGCCTCAAATTACTATATTTTATTATTATTATTATTATTTACTACATAACCATATCTACCAATATTACTATCTATTAAAACATCAGGATATATTATTTTATAGTTTATCGATGATTATTATTCTAACTCATATTTATTTATTTATTTGTTCATAACTTGAATTAATTTATGCATCTATATCATGTTGATTTATACATCTATATAATATTTCCATTGTCATTGTTCTTTTCATCATCGTTATTTTCATCATTGCTGCTTTATTGTAATTTTCTTTTTGCTTTCTTTCTTGATAATGGTGTTCGTCACACCGAAAGTTCGAATAAAATATTAAGTCTATAAAATTTGATAAAAGTTTTAATGTATTTCATAGTTAAATCAAACAATAGAGCTTTTTTATTCTATACATTTTGATCATAATCATCGAGGAGTACACTCTCAACCGATACAATCAATCAATCACACTGAATTACAAACAGGTTTTCTGACGTATAGAAAATAACAAAGAAAAATAGATATTCTTTGAAATTAGTTCAAACAACACCATCAAATAATCACCCACCCGATGTAAAAGCTTGCATTAAAGCTATTTTTCAATATCCATCCATAATTTTAACTTCATCTGATATCTCTCTTGCTACTCGGCATTACTCCGCGCTAACTCGTCAACATAGTGTTCATTTAATGATTGATAAAAATCTTTCACATGAGGATAATTATTTTGTTCGAAATTTGTCAAAATCGCTGAAGGTGTTGGAAGGTTTCGTTAAGAAAGTACCACGAGCAAATGATGAAAAATGACGTTTTGATTTCACCACTGTTTTAAATGAGTTTGGAATTACATGAAAATTATTTCAATCTTATTTTGATCTTACAAAAAATGATATGAAAATCCAATGGCAATAAATATAAAATTTAATTTAATATTAATTTAATTTTTTCAGAGGCTTTTATACAACAGCACAATTGCTTTTGAATTAAACCACTGAAGTTTTGCTGGATTCAGTAGATTATCGCTCTTACGCCAACTATGATAAACGTGCAGTATTTCGTCCGGTTGAAAATACAACAACTTTCCCTGAACGATGGTTCCTGAAGCAAGATTCCATGAATTTTCGACGAAATCCCTGAGGAAACTCACTATTTCGGGGCGGGTTCCGCTCGAAAAATGCCAGGAATCCGAGGAAGAAGTGAGGTAACCGTATCCGACTGCCGGTTTTGACATATTCCTGTCGGTTCCGGCCGAAACCAAATAAATTCGGTCACCGGATCCGTTCGACAGGAATACTGCTTCGATGAAATCTCCGGAACACGATGGAACCGGCCGTTTCCGTGCCGGATTGTTCGACCTGGGTAGAACAAGGTGAATTGGAATGTGGAGATAATATTACAGTTAATGTAATCTTGAAAGATATATGTTGTTGAGTTCAATTGTATTTAATAGGTATAGAACCATTTGAAAGTGCAACAAAAAAAAGCAGAAAACGCAAAAACCAAGATGTTTCTCGATCAAAAAAACAAAGAACCTGACCCATCTTTTTCTTTCATTTACTTGTTTTCCTTTTTTATCGTACTTTCGTGTATATTCATTTTATTTCTAAGAAAATGCAGCAATTAAACTGAAGCAACTTTTGTAAGCGAATTATTGTATTAGTATATTTTTTCTTGTTGTCGTTATAAACTCGGCCTTTTATCTTTATATATATAGATGATTTCTAGATATAAACATAGTGAATAATGCATCTTTAGAAATTAGCAATGATTTTTTTTATGAAGTTATTGAAACAAGCAACAGTTCATACGGTAATGATGCTACATGAAAGAATACAAAATGCTTCTATGGTAAACGATAAATATTCTGTTATTTGTGAGATTATCAATAAGCAATTTAATACTAACTTTTTGTCTGGTTTTATACAACAACAAATTGAATTCTTCGCATCATCAGAATTATTTCGTGGATATTTAATGTTTTCTACAGATGTAGATGAAAACTTTTCGATATAATAATCAAAAAAAGCACATGATTCTAATGTTACGAGAAACTTCTAAAAAGTCCCTTTGCTATATAAATGTAGAGTTATACTCATAATACCTTTTTCTGATTTATATAAAGTACAGTTCTTAACGCAGTTCACCTTTCTCATAAGTTCCATACACTATTTTATTCGTATTCTCTATTATAATGTACTTCGTTTGGAAGTTTAACTCAACCCATCTCGATGGAATCCACCAAGAAAGACATGTTATCTCTTCATACTACTCTTTGAATGAAAATGTGTGTCTTAAATACTTTGATTTTATATCTACAATGAGTCGAATTCAACTCAGTAAGCACCTATATAATGTGTTCTTATATCACTTTTTATATAAAATGAACTTAAGTAATACTAACTCCATCCGATTTCGAGAAGTAATCATGCCGGATATGGATGCAAAATTATTCAGAAAAAATTAAGACATAATACAGTTTAGATATTACAAAATAAAAATGATATAAAACTGATTGTTTAGAAAAAACAGAAAAAGATGTTTTGATTTTATCCATAGAGAAAACTAATAGAAGATATCAATGCACTATAATTTCACAAATTATAAAGAAATGAAAATAGACACATATGGATTTATTTAATCAATTATTATAGTAAAATAATACCATAAATAAAAGATTAATCGTTGTTCTTTGCTTTTGATGATATATATATTATGCACTATCAATGATTCATATTGTGTTGAATATATTAACAAATAAATGATTAAATTAAAAATGAATTTCTCATTATTTATGTAATTTGTACTTATAAAATAAAATATACATTCATGATAATTCAGTAATAAACAGTATTCATAAAGATTATTTAACTGAAAATATTTTTAATAATATTGTGCAACAATTAGTTTCTGTTGCAAGACTGATTATTACGTTAAAATTTAAATCACAAAAAAAAGAATTGTACAACGACATAGATACGTTTTAGTATGTCTTATATAAATTCGTACTCGTGAAAGCTCAATAAAGAACGAAAAAAAATGGATCTTGTTTTATAATAGATATAAAGTATAATACGATTATTAATACATATATTTATTTCGATGTTATTTATCTCATCATCTTTTTTCTGTCATATATTATTCACATGAAATGATATAACCATCTATAATTTTATTCTTTTAAGAATATATCGTTATGACAAAATATTACTCTTAAAAATGGCAAGACTATTACGATGATTTATTAACGTATTATTTTAAGAACCTAACTAAGAATTTTAGGTATAAAAAAAGTATATTATATTTTACATATTTATCTTAGAATTAATTTCTTATTTATATTATTGATCATAGAAAATAATTATTCAACGAGTGAGACTCTTTTAAAGGAAAAAAACTACAAATATGCAACGATTAATATTAGTAAAAATAGGTGTTTTCAATCTAAAATATTTCTCTGTGAAGAGAAATATTAATGTTTTATTATATATTTTTTAAAACTGACATTTTTAAGAAAAATCAGTTTGCTTTTTATTTTCTATATTAACATTTTATTTAATATAAACGTCGTAGAATATGCATATCAATCATGAAAAATCTAATCTATGTAAACATATGGAAAATGGTCAGAGCGAAAAAGAAAACATATCAAAATAATATCCATAAAGCTAGGTTATTTTTATTATTCTCTTCACTCTATACAATACATATTATTGTAGAAATATCCTTGTGCAAATAATATATTAGATTAAAGTTTGCATATAATCTATACAAATCATAACAGAGGAAGAGAATGTGATATATCATCAAATAAATTTGACATGAAGAAAGGTAAACAACAGTGAAATAAAATCATTATTAAACAAAGTGTGACTTTTGAATATGTGAGGAAATAAAGTAAATACGATTTGGGAAAAAAATCGAAAACAATGGATTCTTTCTGTTTAAATAATCATAGTTTGATGATTTTTTTTTAAATATTTATATTTCAATGTCATATCTGTCTTGTGTCAATAGAAGAATATCAAATTTTTGTTTATTTATTTGTTTTAAATAATTTTGTCCTCATGTTCTCTCTATTTTCTGCTTTTTTCCTATATCATTAACTTTATAATGTTTATTAAATCGTGTCCTTCTATAATAAAAAGACAAAAATATTATATTATACTCCTTTTCTTACATATTGTAATATGTCGTCGAGATTAAAATACTTGAGATTATACTCACTTACTTTTATTAAGATACCTTTTTTTTAACAAACTTGTTTCCATCATTCTACGATTCGATGACTTCTATCTAATAAAAAAAATACGTTTAAATAGGTAATATTATTTTAAAATGTTTTTGGAAAAAATTTTTATTTTAGAAAACCAGTAATACTGTAAGTAGAATTTATTCTACTAATATAAGAATATCTTTCAAATTATTATACTCTTTTTTTCGTATAATACAATTTTACAGATGATCATAGATTTCAGAGAAAATAATCCTGCATCAATCAAAGAAATAATTGTTTGACAAAAACACGATCGATATACTCGATTGTACGTAAGTATCATGTTAAATTTATTCTCTAAAGAGAATAGATTTATTAAACTCATCACAAGGAAATGAATTTCAACAAAATATTAACAAAATTATATCGTTTTTTATTTCCATAATAATTTTTATGTTCTTTCATTATTAGAACTATGTTATATTATTCCAAATGTCGATCTTATGCAGACATATGTAGATTAGCATTATTCACAAGTTTATCAATAACAACTGGTGTATTAACAGTTTGTTTAATCTATCCCAAAAATACAAGTATGAATATTTTTGCCTTAATATTCACATAACTTTGTAAATGAAGTCAGATCATTAGAAATATCAAAATAAAAATATTCTAAATAGATAGTTAATACTATTAGATAAAGATTCAAATTCTTATTTGGCCCCTTTAATTAATTTTTTGATTTGAAAAATCATTATTAAAAAAACCAATAATTATAGGCATCCAACACTATTCTGTGTTATTATACATTTGCTTTTGTTTAAATTAACAAATAAAAAAACAAATATCTAACGAAACAGTTCTAGAATAATTCCTAAACTCGATATAAAATAATAATGACTTGAATTTAATTGATCAGTAGAATATCTCTTAAATGATCAGTATTTTTTGATCAATAATTAGTTCTAAATATCAGTAATTAATTTAAAAAATGTCAGTATTTGGTTTTTGGTTAGTAATTAATTCTTTTTTTTGATCAGTATTTAATTCTTATTTTGTTAGTATTTTGTTAATTTATATCAGTAAAAAACGTATAATAATAACTAAGAGAAGTTTATTGAATAACTAAACCTTTTTTAGCTTTCGATAATCTGCTATATAATGTCGTTTTTCACCAATTGAGTATGAGTGATGGTAAGATGGCTAGTGGGTGTCGTTGTGGGTGTGGATGTGGGTGATATATCATACTTTTACTCACTCTCACATCCATATCTACATCCTTACATGATTACTGCTAAAAATTCAACTAAATTCATACATGCTCATATAGTATTAGTTTTCATGTTAATTTATTGTACACTTAAATCAAAACAAATGCTAAACGAACTTAAATCTTATATTTTTTTCAATAAAATTCATTGAATTTTGAATTAGATAAAATTGACATCAAACTAACTTTTAATTAGCATAATTATGATTTTGTTTATACATGTTATCAGTTATTATCAAAATGAAGTAATGAAACTAAGAAAATCTCATAAAGAAAAAGTTTCTTTATGATTTAACTTATTTACTTTGTTCCGATACAGAAAACCATATAGAAATTAACCAAACACACTAACATTGGCTTTGTTTTCTAAAAATCGGCTTAAAAATATATAACAACGTAATATGACTTAGGCGCACCCGCGCGGCGATTAATTTCAAAGTGATATAGGCACGAAACGGCTGCTTTTTCAGCGCGGTTCTCCATCGCGCGCGCGATGCACGTCTCAGTTTTGAATATTTGACAAAAAATCTAATGAATTCTACATATCTCACTTTTTTTTATTTCGAACAAAAGTTATAGTAAGAAAATATTTCAAGATGATTAATGTAGTTCTAAAGCCATATTTGAATCATTGGAGCAGAATATTGAAATCGATAAGGTCGACTAAGTGGATATTGATGAATTTGTCGTCGAATTAGATGAGAAAAACAATGTGTTTGAGAAAAAGTCAAATTATAAAGATTAATCTCAACAAAAACAAGTTGTTTAAAATGATCAACAAGAAAATGGATAACTTCTCGAATACGTTTTGTAGCTTTATTTTCACCATTAACAATCCGCGACAGTATTCTATCCCATTCATTGATTGAATCATAGAGAGAAAACGAAATTTTTTTCAAATTAGGTAGTCGATTAAAAAGTACCGTACAAAAATCGTGAGCATTACGTAATGTCAATGTATAATCATCCAGAATAAATGATTCAATCTATTAAATAAAAAGAAAAAGAAAAAACCGATCATGGATAGACACATAATCAGTTAAGATTTTATAAAATTATTTTCTTTTAATCTTGAACTTGACTCGTTTTTTTTTTCAAAGAAAAAATACTCTTCATCAGATTTATCTGTTAAATTCTAAATATTTACTTGTTCATTAATATGAGTTCCCACGCCATCAATGTTACGTAATATTGACCGGGATAAATTCTCATTGCCATAATAAATATGTAGCGTGCGAACATTGTAAGCCTTTCGTAATATTAATTCTAGGACATGTACGCTGACAACAACACCTTCATCGAATGAAATTTTTGTTAATAATGGCCACGGAACCAATAATGATATTGGACTTTTACAATTGTTCAACTCAAAGAAACAATCTTTATCATAATAACCTTGTAGAAATAATTCATCAGCGTATGGAAACAAATCTACTTCATTTATTGACATTGAACAACATCTAAATAAAAAGAATAGAATATTTATTTAAAAATAATATATTTTATACATACTTCGATAGATCTTTAGATAATAAATTCGTTGAAAGGCTTCTTTCATTAAATGGTATAGTGTATATTATACAACGATAATTATTCGAATTACTCAGCCAATTATTACGTTCTTTAATAATAACCTTTGGTCGTTCTTTAAGAGCAAACGGAACTTTAAGAAACGAGTTAAAAATTCTTTTTTCATCCAAATCATTCTTAACGGTAACTGATAGATTAAGAGTATATATTGATGATGGTTTGAGACGATGAATACATAATTTTTGAATCGTATCACCTGATATAATCCATCGATCAGATACTGATGTACTAGCATATAATATTAATGAGAAATGATTAAGTTGATTAAATACAGATGATAAAAGTGAAACAGATCTATAAAAACTTCTTTTATCCCGACAATTCATACTAAGACGAGATAGACGACCAAGAAGGCGATAATCAATAGCAGGAGGCAATCTAACAAAAAAAATTGTTTTATTTATATTTTTACAAATAAGAGAAAATCTTACTTACGATATAACATTACACTCATCTTCATCATAAATATTCGAATCTTGTATACCAAAAGAAAGATTTACAATGAAAGGTATACATTTCACTAAACCTTCTAGAAAACATATTGTGTTTATACCAATTGTTAGCGTATGAAGGAAAGTTGTATTCGAAATATCTGGTAGGATCATTCTTGCTAGTACCAATGATGATTCTACTATACGACCATTTTCTATAGGATAAAAATTAAATGGCAGTCGACATGTTCGTAGTTGTGTCAATTGTGCGCATACCTTATATTAGAACAATATAAAAATCAAATCTTATAAAGTGCATACAATATTCTCAATGTTAATGACGCTGTTCTTTCAGATACCTTTACATGATAATATACAAATTTTGTTTCGTACGACAACTAAAAATGTATCTCATTTATTTTTGGATTTTTCGATCAAACAAACATCTTTCAGCTCCTTAATGGGTTTAAGTAAAATTCCTTTTCTTACCTTAGCGAGATATGCTCCTTCCACTGGTTGATCCTTGAGGTCGGGGTCTACCTCATCGAGCGTTAAAGTATATAATTCTTTTATTAAATGACTATGCAATAATTTATTAAATTCATCTGCTGTAATACCAATCAGGTGAAGATGTCGAAGTAATCTTGATTTATGAAATCGAAGAGATGATGAAACAAGTGACCATCCATTAATAACATTACTTAATCTTAGACGTAATGAAACGATTCGAGCTCCTATTAATTTTAACACATTTTGGCACAATTCATTGAATATCGATAATGACGTTAAATTATCAGCAATATCTATGTGCCATAAATACTCACAAATAATCGTTCTTGAAAAATGTTTATTCAATGGTAAAAATGATTTAACAATGTTAACTGGAGACAAATAAGCAAAAATTTCAAAAAGAACATCGACAGGTAAACATTCAAATGTAGTTGAGATCATTTTGTTCGTGTGTCTCACCGATTTCTACATATATATGTATCCATTGATATATTGACATAAAGAATGATGTGCGTCCGCCTATTTTGATTTGACGAGCATTGTTCTATATTTTCTTATTTTGTTATATATGTCAGTCCAACGTAAGCCAGAGAAAGAAAAAAACTCAATAGTGTTATTATTTATTTAATAGATACTCTCAGACGATATTATATTCATATTGACTAGTCGAGCAATTCAATGGTAATTAAAAGGAATACATAGAACTCAATCATTTTCGATAAAAAAACATTATTTTTTATATTTACTTAACAAACTAACGTTTTTATATTTCAAAGAATGATAGAACAATATTGCAAATTTTAATAACTAGTAAAAAATGATGTATCTAGTTTTATATTTTCAATTGCTTTATATGAATTTTATATATGACCACCCTTATCTTTTGTTCAATTCACCAAATTATACATCGTCTAAGTATTTACAAGATATGTGACAAAATATCAATATTTATTTTAATATAGAATAATGATTAAGCATGCATAAAATCGAACTCTAATTCAGTTCACATAAACTGGAACTGAGACAGTCCCTTTATCGATTAACTGAAAAAGACTGTATTCCCGAGTAAATGCAAATCTGATTCAAATTCATTAAATCCGAGTATTTGGATTCGATAGAGACCTAATATAAATGTAGTTAGATTTATTTGACAATATTTTTTTATTTTTCTTTGTTTCTCATATAATAATAACAAATTAAAACACATCGAAAATAAGACTTATCAATGCTGTATAGTGATGGTTAGGACAGAGTTTTGATGTTGAGTGATCTGGGTATAGAAGAATTCTTTTTATGAGGTAGTTTATACTAGACTTCATTTAAAATGATGAGTGTAGCAAGTTAGTCGACGTTTTAATCTGAAAATATGATAAAAATAATTGAAAATGAAGCTACATAAATAAATATTGCCAGAAAAGGAATATTATCGATATTAAAAAGAGAAACACATTTTAGATGTTCTGATAAGCGTCACAGCAAATGTTGAATTATGCAGAAACTTTTTTATGATCATATACGTCCTGAATTATTGTTCTAAGGAACATTATTCGTCATAATAATGATTGCTGATTAATATTCATCAAACATTAAAAAAACTGAGTATTGTTTTGTAATTTTTATCGTTTGAAATGAGATTTAATTTGAGCCACTTTATACGAAGAATGTTTTTATGTTCGTATGGTATAATATTTTAGAAATTTCTTAAATTCGACATCAAAAGGTTACAATAATCCTTACTATATAATACTAATAAATCCTATTTTTAATACGATTTAACTTTAATATAAAACTTGTTATTAATGTTATTTGAAATGCCAACATAGTTTCCCTCAAAAATATTATTTCTAATTTAATAAATAATAAAATATATCGATAGTATCCTTTTAGCTAAGATTTTTGATCAAATAAGTAATAAATAAAAGGAATATTTTCATTTTAAAATTTTTTTTAGTAACACAAAAAAATTTATGTAATGTTTGAACCTAGACATGTTTTATCATCCTAAGGTGCCGTATTATCATCACAAGCGTCTTCAGTAAAATTATTCAATGTGTTATTATTATAACCAGTAGTTTGACTAAGATTATTTAATGAATCAGGGTGTGGGTGGGTGTGGGTGGGTGTGGGTGTGGGTGGGTGTAGGTGTGGGTGTGGGTGGGTGTAGGTGTGGGTGTGGGTATAGGTTAAGAGAAGATAGATATACCCACCCACACCCTCAAGATGTTCATTGACAAGTCGCATTGTTTGATTAGTAGCTTGTTGTGTATTGTTCACTTCCATAGCTAGTTTGAGTTCACCTTCTGAAAATTGTAAGATTGGATGACTAATGTTAACTGGCTCAATAAAATGTTTTTTGTGCCAGTTGTTGTAAATCTTCTTATATGGACTTGGACAGGATATAAATTTTCATCAATATTATAACTGCAGTCATTAGTAATTTTTATAACGAAATAAGATGATTGTGGATTTGCTGATGACGCCATTTGTGTTAAAAGAAAATAATAATGATTATTCTAGAATGTAGGAAAGTTATATATATACGTTAAACTAGTCTTTTTTTCGTTCTGTGCATGTGTTAAGTGCTGACGATACTTTTACCTTTATTGGTTAGCAAAATTGAGCTTTTGCATACTAATTGAACATTATTAGCATCGCTTAATAGCAAATGTGATCGATAGGACTTATGTGGAAAAAACTGTTTTGCCACTGGTAATTGGATAACAATTCTACCAAATATTTCAAAATTAATGTTAATATTAACTGGCTCAATAAAATCCCTTTTTTTTACCAGTTGATGTGTACCATCTTATATGTGTTTTGACTGGATATATATTTTGTTGAACATTGTAATTACCATCTTGAGGGTG